CTGTCTTTGACCATCTTCTCTTTTACATCTGCAGTCCGTGACCATCTCCTATATCATGTCTGCTGACATGATACAGGAGCTGGACAGAGTCTCCAGACATGATAGAGGAGATAGAGACTGCAGGCATGATACAAGTAAGCTGTGTAAATTGGCACTACAGTGCCTTGAAAAAGTATTCATACCCCTTGAAATTTTCCACATTTTGTCATGTTACAAGCAAAAATATAAATGTATTTTAATGAGATTTTATGTGACAGACCAACACAAAGTGGCACATAATTGTGAAGTGGAAGGAAAATTGTAATTTAATCTCAGTTTAAATACAGCTCTTCTGTGAAATCCTCACAGGTTTGTTATAGAACATTAATGAACAAACGGCATCGTGAAAGCCAAGGAACACACCAGACAGGTCAGGGATAAAGTTGTGGAGAAGTTTAAAGCAGGGTTAGGTTATAAAAAAAAAATCGCAAACTTTGAACATCTGATGGAGAACTGCTCAATCCATCATCTGAAAATGGAGAGAAGTATGACTCAACTGCAAACCTACTAAGACATGGCCGTCCACTTAAATTGACAGGCCTGGCAAGGACAGCATTAATCAGAGAAGCAGCCAAGAGGGCCATGGTAAAACTGGAGGAGCTGTAGAGGTTCATAGCTCAGGTGGGAGAATTTGTCCACAGGACAACTATTAGTCATGCAGCCCACAAATCTGGCCATTATGAAAGAGTAGCAAGAAGAAAGCCATTGTTGAAAGAAAGCCATAAGAAGTCCCGTTTGCAATTTGCGAGAAGCCATGTGGGGGACACAGCAAACATGTAGAAGAAGGTGCTCTGGTCAGATGAGACCAGAATTTAACTTTTTGGCCTAAAAGCAACGCGCTATATGTGGCGGAAAACTAACACTGCACATCGCCTTGAACACACTATCCCCACCGTGAAACGTGGTGGCAGCATCATGTTGTGGGGAGGCTTTTCTTCAGCAGGGACAGGGAAGCTGATCTGAGTTGATAGGAAGATGGATGAAGCCAAATACAGTGCATCCAGGAAGTATTCACAATGCTTAACTTTTGCTACATTTTGTTATGTTACAGCCTTATTCCAAAATGGATTAAATTCATTTTTTTCCTCAACATTCTACAAACAATACCCCATAATGACAACGTGAAAGAAGTTCATTTTGAAATATTTGCCATTTATTAAAAATAAAACTGGAAAAAAAAAAAACACATGTATATAAGTATTCACAGCCTTTGCCATGACACTCAAAATTGAGCTTTGGTGATCGTCCTTGAGATGTTTCCACAACTTGATTGGAGTCTACCTGTGGGAAATTCAGTTGATTGGACATGATTAGGAAAGGCATTAACCTGTCTATATAAGGTCCCACAGTTAACAGTGCATGTCAGAGCACAAACCAAGCCATGAAGTCCAAGGAATTGTACGTAGACCTCCGAGACAGGATTGTATGAAGGCACAGATCTGGGGAAGGGTACAGAAAAATTTCTGCAGCATTGAAGGTCCCAATTAGCACAGTGGCCTCCCTCATCCATAAATGGAAGAAGTTTGGAACCACCAGGAATCTTTCTAGAGCAGATCGCCCGGCCAAAATGAGCGATCGAGGGAGAAGGGCCGTAGACAGGGAGGTAACCAAGCACCCGATGGTCACTCTGAAAGAGCTCCAGCGTTTTTCTTTGGAGAGGAGAACCTTCCAGAAGAACCATCTCTGCAACACTCCACCAATCAGGCCTGTATGGTAGAATGGCCAGATGGAAGCCACTCCTCAGTAAAAGGCAAACTGCAGCCCGTCTGGAGTTTGCCAAAAGGCATCTGAGGGACTCTCAGACCACGAGAAACAAAACTGTCTGGTCTGATGAAGCAAAGATTGAACTCTTTGCCCTGAATGCCAAGCATCATGTCTTGAGGAAACCAGGCACCGCTCACCACCTGGCCAATAACATCCCTACAGTGAAGCATGGGTGGTGGCAGCATCATGCTGTGGGGATAGATTTCAGCGGCAGGAACTTGGAGACTATTCAGGATCAAAGGAAAGATGAATGCAGCAATGTACAGAGACATCCTTGATGAAAACCTGCTCTAGAGCGCTCTGGACCTTAGACTGGGGCAACAGTTCATCTTTCAACAGGACAACGACCCTAAGCATACAGCCCACATAAAAAAGGAGTGGCTAGGGGCCAACTCTGTGAATGTCCTGGAGTGGCCCAGACTTGAACTCGATTGAACATCTCTGGAGAGATCTGAAAATGGCTGTGCATTGACACTCCCCATCCAACCTGATGGAGCTGGAGAGGTACTGCAAAGAAGAATGGGAGACATTGCCCAAAAATAGGTGTGCCAAACTTGTAGCATCATACTCAAAAAAATGACATGAGCTACTCAAAATGACATGAGGCTTTAATTGGTGCTAAAGGTGCTTCAACAAAGTATTGAGCACAGGCTGTGAATACTTATGTACATGTGGTTTTTTTTATTTTTAATAAATTGCAAAGATTTCAAAATGAACTCTTTCATGTTGTCCTTATGGGGTATTATTTGTAGAATGTTAGAGGAAAAAAATTAATCAATTTTGGAATAAGGCTGTAACATAACAAAATGTGGCAGAGTTAAATCGGAGTTCCACTCACTCTGTAAAAAAAATAAGTCAGCAGCTACAAAAACTGTAGCTGCTGACTTAAAAAAACAGCCACTCACCTGTCCCTCGATCCCGCGTTGCCCCCGCCGCAGCCTGTTTCACTGGCCGTCCTGTATTACGGGCGCCGTTATCTTCAGTGTGGGCACCCGGCTGTGACAGCTTGCGGCTTCCCACTGCGCATGTGCGAGTAGCGCTGCGCTACCTGAATGGCCCTGTTGTCTTCTGGGACCTGTCACGTGTCCCACAAGACTTCGGGGAGGGAGGGTAGGAGGACAACTTCCGTTTCCGATCGCCTAGGCGATTGCAGCGAAAGAGGGAGCGGGTACCTGTCAAATTCGGGTACCCGTCTGCTCCCCAAAGGTGCCAATCCTTAATGGGGAGCGGGGGGGGACCAATCTTTAAAGCGGAATTTCCCCTTTTGGGTGGAACTCCGCTTTAAGCACTGTGAATACTTTCTAAATGCACTGTATAGGGCAATCTCGAAGAAAACCTGTTTGGGTCTGCAAAAGACTTGAGACTGGGGTGGAGGTTCACCTTCCAGCAGGGCAATGGCCCTAAACATACAGCCAGAGCCACAATGGAATGGTTTAGATCACAGCATATTCATGTGTTAGTATGGCCCGGTCAAAGCACATACCTAAATCCAATTGAGAATATGTGGCAAGACTTGAAAATTGCTGTACACAAAACACTCCCTATCCAACCTGACAGAGCTTGAGCTATTTTGAAAAGAAGAATGGGTAAAAAGTTTTCTCTGTAGATTTGCAAAGCTGGTAGAGACATACCCAAAAAGACTTGCATCTGTAATTGCAGCGAAAGGTGGTTCTTCAAAGTATTGACTCGGGGGGCTGAATACAAATGCATGCCACACTTTTCAGATATTTATTTGTAAAACATTTTGAAAACCTTTTATCATTTTCCTTCCACTTCACAATTATTTGTCACTTTGTGTTGGTCTAACACAAAAAAAATCGCGATATAAAATACATTTACGTTTTTGGTTGTAACATGATAGAATGTGGAAAATTTCAAGGGGTATGAATACTTTATCAAGGCACTGTATATACCTGTAATAAATAAATAGAAATATGGGCTTAACTTTTGTTGTCTGTGTCTCTTTGGGGAGTTTTAGCTTTACTTCTTGTTCTGGAGATGCAATAGGAAGTGAGAGAAAATTTTTCCAAAGGAGAAATGCCATTTTGGAAAACCGTCACCAGAACAAACGTGTTGGTCAGAAGATGAGCGTCACCTCCTGGTAACGACTGCACAGTTTTGGATTTCCCATCATTTTCTGTTTCCCGAATCTCCAGAGTAGGAAGATAAAGCATTAAAAACACGAGAAGTTATAACTTTTTCCTGTTCTATTCAAGACTAAAAATAAAAGGTGTTGGCTATAAATAAATTTAAAATTATTATAAATTTCAGGTTTGTCCCGGAAAGATTTAAATGTGCCTTATTTAACTTTACTTCCTTTGTCTGAACCTAGCGCTTCAGCATGAGTCATGTGAGAGGTCACTTGAAGTCTGACGTTTGCTCCCTGTCAACTGCTTCACCGCACATACTGATTAATCAGCTTCTGAGTGTGCAGAGTGAGAGGCCCAGTGTGAATATTAAGATATCTTTGGTTTTAAATCCAGTGATATCTCCTTGTTAAAGTGACAGTATTGAGTGAACTTGGCCTGTTCCAGTTAAGTGAAACTGTACTATTTAAAGTGGAAGCAAAGGCTATATATAAGTATGCTTTAAACTATTGCTTCCCCCTTTCTACTACTTATGCTGTATAATGCTGGTAACCGAAGGTCTGTGTAAATACTTTATTTCAGTCCGCTTTGTTTTGGTCACGTGATGTAGAAGCTCTTGCTCTCCTATGTCAGGGAGTATTTGATAATGTGGTTGAATTCTGGGAGCCGTGACATCACCCACTGGCTTTCATTGCCCGTCCGTTGTCAGTGCTCCCTCCTCTCCCTTGCAGCAGCTGCTGTATTACACAGGGGAGCTGGAGCTTCTGCATCACATGACCGGAGCAGATTGAAATATGGTATTCACACATACCTTATTTACCAGCACTATACAGCATAGGTAGGAGTGGGGGGAACAGTGTTTTAAAGAAAATTTATATGTAGCCTTTATTTCCACTTTAACACATAATTAAATGTTACTGCTGTACCGCATTAAAAAAAAAAAAGTAAAATGTCTCATAACACCTGAAGCTTAAACAAGGTCAGAGCAGACTTTTTACCCTGCTGTAGTCATCGCAGGTTTAATTGTCGCTTGAATTACTTTATCAAAAAATAAATTTGAGGTATAGTATGCAAAGTTAATGCCAAATATTTTTATCATTTTTCCATTAGGTGTATGTGAAGTGTCATTTTGATTACAATCCATTTAATGATAATCTCATTCCCTGCAAAGAAGCTGGTTTAAAGTTTTCTAAAGGAGAAATTCTGCATATAGTTAACAGGGAAGATCCAAACTGGTGGCAGGTAAGTACATCACTACTGTTTAATATGGTTGCAGTGCAGAACGGGTAAGACCCCTTGCACACAGTGCACCTATCCCATGTGTGTGAAATCACAGCATTTTAGTGTGCATGGGAGGTACAAATTTGGCATCCAGCCCCACTGCCTGCAGCCTGTCAGTCTAAGGCAGGCTGAAATATGCTGCAGCTTGGATGGAGCTGAATGCTGTACTCGCGCTTGCAGGTATTTTGTGTTCTGAGCATACCTCACAACCCTGAACACATAAAGCCCTAAATGTGAGTACCCCTCACAGTATTTAGCTCTTTCCAATTGCACTGTATTTCAGCTTGCCATAGACTAACAGGCTGCAGGCAGCAGGGCTGGGTGCTACACCTGTGCCTCCCGCAAGCAATAAATCACATCATTGGAGGCACAGAAGCTAGACAGTATGCAAGGGGCCTAATGTGTGCTGCCATGTTGAAACTCTAAACAGTTGACTTTCTGTGGAATGGATGATATTGATGTACCCTTCACTTCTCTCATCCTTATTACCTGAAAAGTTAGTAAGGCTAGCCTTAGCTTGTTGTGGGACACCTCTGACTTCATTTCATATGACTGTCAAAAGTCCTCAGTTCTCAATTATAGGCAGTAAAATACAAGAATATTCTTTTTAATTTGCTCTGATTTGCCTATGTAGGTTAGGCTTTAAAAATATAAACTATTTTGACAAACCTGAAGATCCACAGCCTCATGTACTCTTAGAGAATTTGTGTTGTAGAAAAAAACAGATCTGTTCTATTCCCCCTGGACATGGAGCCAAATAAAATAATTACATTTTCTCTCATTTCTTTACCTTTTGGTGATGTAAAAACCTGTTTTTATGGCTCTTAGAAATACCTGCTGGTTCCTAGGTTCTTCCCCCTTGCTAATTAATTAATTGGCTTACCATTGTATTACATATTGCATTGTACACTTAGCTGCACAATGTTCTTTCTTTCCACTCTTCTTTCATTCTGTTTTGCAAATACAAGCATTGTCTGTCTCTGATCAATGTAGCAATTAAAGCTTCGTTCTTAAAAGATTGTACCTTGTTCAGTGCCTGACGTGTCAGCAATTTTCCTGCTGTACTCTCTTGTTACTGCTGTGTCTGGTTGTGTGTGTACGTTATGCTTGTCTTTACTATAAAACAATACAGCATTTCCTAAATATATTTTCTTTGATCTTGTCTGACAATCTGTTTTAGGGTTAGGGCATACTGACCATTCGGGCATTTTCCGAGGGCCCGTGGTTTGTTGGCGGCCTGGTGTGAGGCTCATTGGGCACAATTTACTAAGCGGTATATTATTGCATCCGAGTATGTGGTAGGATACCGCATAGCATTTTTTAAAAAAAAAGGTTTGAATTCACCAAAAAACGCTACTAAAATACCACATGAGTTATTTTATCAAGTCATTCGGTATTTTAGTAGTGAAAACCATGCGTTCATGTTTCAGCTGTCAGCGGGGTTCCCTACTGACAGCTAAATGTAAAAGAATTTCTAGCAATTAAAAAAAAATATATTTTAAAAATGACGTGGGGTCTCCCCTCCATCCATACCAAGCTCTTTGGGTCTGGTATGGATTTTGAGGGGAACCCCCATGCCAATATTTAAAAAAAAAATAAATGCCCCCCCAAAATCCATACCAGACTCTTATCCGAGCATGCAGCCCAGCAGGTTAGGAAAGGGGGGTACGAGCGCCCCCCTGCTGAACCATACCAGACCATGCCCTGAACATGGGGAGAGGGGGTGCTTGTTGTTTTACTATTTATTTTAATTATTGTTAATGCCCTTTCTATGCAGCTGAGCTGCAATATGTAGGTGAGGTGTTGTGTAGGTGTGGGCTTGAGTGTAGGCAGAGACACAGGGGGCCTCATTATCTTATTGCCTGGGGGCCTCATGAGTTGTCAGTCTGCCCCTGTTTCAGGGTTTCTGTATTTGGTCATACACCAGAAAATCTGGATATTTACTATTAATAAGACTTTTTAAAGGTTTTTTTTCGTTCACGACTTATTTTTCTTCCAGTTTTACAATTTTATGTATTGTATTTATAATTTGTATTTATATGTTTATTAATTTACAAAAATGTAATACAAGGTGACACTGGTGGCTCAGAACATTATAGGTTTTAGAGGGTGCAATAGAAGATGTATGGTTTCAGACTGTTTCTCTCTCAGCCAGTCAGTGTGCAGTTAGAGCTGCTGAGATTTGTGAAAAGACATTTTAGCAAAACAGGAAGAGTCTGGTAAACATAAGCCTAAATGCTCCACACTTTGGCTGGAAATGGGTAAATATGATATTCCTCAGATTTGTGGTAAAAGCACATCTGAAACCCTTTATTTCCAGTTTAATGCTTTTCCATTCGGGCTTTCATTGGTTCCCCGAATTTTCACCAAAGTCTTGGCAGAGGTGCTCCAAGATCTAAGGTCAACATTCTTTAGACAATCTATTGCTCTTTACAGACTCCTTGAACACACTAAAACAAAATCTAGATATCACAATCTGAAACCTACAAGACCTTGGATTGTTGATTAGCAAAGAAAAGTCTCAACTATGTCCAGCACAAAGGGAAATCTTTTTGAGCTATGTTATCTGTCCAGTAAAGGCAAAAACTTTCCTTACAGACGGGAAAGTTCAGAACCTGATGTGAGCCTCCCTCAAACTTTCTGGGGTCAAATTTCTCAATTTTTGAAGTGACAAGGCTACTCGGATTGATGATGGCAGCCATCCCAAGAGTTCAGTGGGCACAGCTGCACTTGAGACCATGCCAGAATTATATCCTCATGGACTTGGCCAGTCAGCAAGAGTCCTTAGACAAAAAAATTAACATGCCTGAACCACTAAGGGAACTAGTCATGTGGTGGTTACTTCCACAGAACCTGCAAAAGAGCCATCTTTGGATTCGGCCAAGCCTGGTAAGAATAACCACAGATGAGAGCACATGGGTCTGGGAGAAACACACAGACCAACACATGATACAAGGGGCGTGGAGCCCCGCTTGGGCAGGCAGTTCTTCCAACATGAGATAATTAAGAGCAGTGATGGAAACCATAATCACATTCCAACCATTGATAAAGGGACAACATATATAAATATATTTGGGCAACATAGCATCGGTGTCCTATGTGAGCAAGCACGGGAACACAAGATCACATCACCTTTTGCAGATAGCGAAAAAAAAAATCCTAACATGGGCAGAGCAGAATCTTCTGTCCATTTCAGCGATTCACCTAAAAGGGTAACTAAATTCTTTGGCTGATTTCTTGAGCAGGAAGCAAATATAGCAAACAGTGAGGACTAAATCAGGAGATCTTCATACAGATCAGAAAAGCTTTGAGTCCCAGATGTTTACCTTTTTGTTTCCCCTAACAATTGGAAGGTGGAAAGTATTTTTCCTTACAGAGAGCCGTCAGCTTGGGAGTAGATGACCTAGCACATCACTAGGAGAACAATTTGTTTGTTTTTCCGCCTTTCTGACTGATCCCAAGAGTCATATTAATGATAAAAATGACCAAGGTGGAAGTGCTTCCAATTTCACCCTTCTGGCAAAAGAGGACATTATTTGCGGGTCTATGTAGAATGAGGAACGTGGAACTTTAATAATTGCTGTGCAGACCGGTTCTGATATATCAGGGGTCTGAAACTCACCTGGCTATAGACAGAATTTCACTCACTGCCTGGATTCTGAAAGGGATCTCCTAAAGACCTAGGGACTGTCAGACAAAGTATTTGATATGAATATAGACCGCAGGAAGAAATTTACCAGTACCATGTTTGACAAAAGATTTTCACATTGGAGGAAGTCCAATAACCTAGTAGAAGGACCAGCCATTCATGTGGTCTTAGAGTTAGGACTTACAGGATGGAGCAGACTTCAATCTGGCATGCAACACACTAATCTGGCATGCAACACACTAATTGTACAAGTAGCAGCTCTTTCCAGATTTTTGGAAATACGTTTTATGGAAGAACCTCTTATTAAAAGATTCCTGATTGCATTAGCTAGGAACATAAAGCTGCGAATGAAGAGGTTCCTCAAGTGGGATCTTTCCACAGTATTACAAAGTTTCCTGACTGAACCTTTGGAAGATGCTCAAAAAGATTTTTGACACTAGAAATGGTGCTCTTGGATTCCCTAATCTCAGCTAGAAGAGTCAAGGAAATTCAGGCTTTATCAATTGCAGATGCTAACTGCACTATCTTGCCAGACAAAGTTATTCTGATTTTAGATCCAGATTTTCTGTGTGTAATGTTTGCTTAGATCACTGGATCCTACGGTGGATGCTCATCTTGGCACATATCACAGCATGTGTAGTTAGCCACAGGGTGCTATATAGGTCTAGCGCCGTGGTAAATGTATATGGTTCCCAGACCCTGAAGACCCCTTTGTGGCTATGCCTACTGTCATGTAGCCTGTACCTCTAACAAGTCTAGTGTCATAAATAAGGTAGGACAAGGGTCTCCCTGTAGGTTTACCCTGGTTCCTAGATTTTAATAACACTATCAGCAGTGAGTTACAAAATATGTGGTATATTGAGCAGAGGAATGGAGAGATATTCACTGGTAACCCCTGCTTTCCTTTTTGTCTTTAACATTTCTTGGTGCAATTAATTTTACATTTGGTGGTTTTTCTCCTATCTAGATTTAGTCCCAGGAGGATGATTAAGTGCCTCAGGACTCCCAGATGACGCATTCCAACCTGCCTTTTCTATCAAAAGAGCACACATTGGTATATTCCTGTTGCCATCTTCTACAGTCATAAAGCTTTTTCTGATACACACGCAGAATGTGCACTTTGAGGACTGGCTCAACCCTTAGGGGATATACACTGTGATTTATCCTATAGAAAAAGATTTTAAAAACAACTTTGGTAGTGGATATTTACATTTCAGTTCTTAGTAAACACCTTATAGTTCCTACTGAGGATATTCCCTCTTTTAAGGATTCTGCTCATAGGCATTTTGAAGCCCTCCCTTAAGCCTAGTACACACGGGCCAAATGTCGGGAAGCATTATCCGGTTCAATATAAACCGGCCAACATTCAGCTTGTGTGCATGGCAGTTGGCTTCAGGGGCATGACCAGAAAGGTCTGTGTGTGCACCATTACGACCTAGCCGCTGGCATCCTGACAACCAATGACATCATCAGTTGATAAGGAGGAGGTCAGTTGCCTGCACAGCATCCTTGTTTGACCCTCTCCTGCCTCTCTCCATCAGTGCTGGGGTCACATTAGCTCAATGATGGAGAAAAACTGAGGGAGAAAAGAAACGCTGGAATACTAGTCAGTACCAGTGTCCATACGTGTATTTGCTTTAGAAGAATAACCCACCTCTAATGTTCGGTGTCCTACATGTGTGAATGTCGCTGCGTTATATAAAACTATTAGAATAGTTTTTCACATTTTAGAATGGAGTGCCCTTTTAAAATTATGGACAGTCTAGAGGCACCCAATTTTAGAATATGGTGCCTCAAGACTGTCCATATTCTTAAGGGTTGCCTCGGGACTGTCCATAATTTTAAAGGGTGCTCTGACTGAAAAAGGTTGAGAAACACTGTTCTAGAGAATGTAATTTGCTAAGTCTCTACAATCTGCCCTATCCATGTGCATATGTGCAGGATTTTGTGGTTAAAACCTTTTGGTCTGCCGAACCTGCTTGTACACAAAAAAAAAAACTGCTTCTACGCATGTCTTTTGACTGAAAATGCCTTTTTGAGGAATTCCTTGATAAATACACCAAGTAGGTAACTTGGAGGCAAAATCTCCTACTCCAATGGCTACTACCTCTGCTCAGCAAAAAAAATAATTTTCACTGTCCCAAAACATAAACCTCAAACCAAGGCTCAACATTTCCTTTTGTCATAAATCCTGGAGACCTCCAAGCCTTCCCAGAATCCCACCTCAGCATGAAGGAACACCATCACTCTCTGGAGTAGGATGAACGTCTGTTGGCGTTTGCGCCAGTGTGTTTCTGAGACGTCCCAAACCTCTGGGTCCAATCTGTCATTTCAAAGGGCTGCAAAAGTTTCTCTTTGCCCCATCCTTGTTTTTTGTCATCCAGTCTGTTAGCTTCAGACCCAAAGAATGCTGATTTAATGACCGCCTTGCACCAGCCTGAAACACAAGGAGTGGCTGTCCTGATTTATTTAGAAGAACAGATTTTCAAGGTTTTTATTCAAACCCAGTTCCAGTTGGAATCAAGATCTGTAATGGCTTCTCTTAGACAAAAAGAGAATTTCTGGAATCAGTAGACATACAAGATGGATTTTTACACATTCCAATCTTCCGCTCACATTAATGCTTTCTGCATTTTGTTGTAGAAGATCAACACTTCAATTTTGTAGCTCCACCATTTGAGCTCTCATCTAAACGTCTCAAGGGCCTATGCCTTTAGGGGAAGATTGGTGTCTCTTGGGCTTCTGTTCTTTAGGCTCTGGTTCTCTAAGCAGTAGTTCTCGGAGTTCTACCATGTGGATGTTCAAGCTGTTACCGGAGTGCTCTGGCTCTTGTGGGCTTGTTGGCTGTTTTTTTTTTGCTATGTTCTCCAGCCCTTAGTTTATCACTTTGGTATGTCCCATGGCCTAGGAATACAAATCCCATGTTCTGTATTGTACAAATAAAATAGGATTTTTTTTTACATCCCTGTAAACTCATCTTGGAGAACAGTACAGGTTCCAAAACTTTTCTTTTATGATATTTCTGAATTGACTCCTTTAACAATAAACCTCACTTATCAGTTGTGGTTGTATTTAAAGCTTCATATGTATATCTTCTCACTTCCCTGTCTTATTATAAATTCAGATTCTTGCTTGTTTTCCTGTGTTTTTTTTCCTAATATGCTAATCATTATTCAGGATTCCTTCTGTTAGCTGGTCAAATGTTTAACTGCTATATTAGAAGCTTTGGACTGTAGCATCTGGAAATCCCAGCTGGCTTCAGTAAAAAGCTGAATGGGAATTGGCACGTTGATGCGAAAAGTACTTGCTTGGCTGCATTTCACTAATATTGTATGTTGTATGCTTGATGTTGTATTAACTCTTTGTAGGCCAGTCATGTAAAAGAAGGTGGAAGCGCAGGTCTCATTCCCAGTCAGTTCTTAGAAGAGAAGAGAAAAAGCCTTTGTTAGAAGGGACTGGGAAGGTTCAGGTAATATACCATTAAAATTGACACCAATTGTTTATCATAGTAATTTTGTTAACACTTATGGATCAAATTGGGGATGATTCAGTAAAGTTGTTGCACTCTGAATCTGGTGCATCTGTGCATAGTAACCAATTAGCATCTAACTTCAGCTTGTTCAATTAAGCTTTGATAATAAAACCTGGAAGCTGATTGGATACTATGCACAGCTGCGCTGCACCAGATTGTGTGCTCCAGTTTTAGCAACCCCCCCCCCCCCCCAATCCCATTAAGCTCTAGTTGTAAAAATCTTTTATGTACCTTGTTACAAAAATATGTAAATTTCCTGGACAATCCAGTGGGGTAAAAAGCTATATTTGCAATACTTCCTAAGTTTTTGATTCTTGAAGGATAGAAGATATTTGAATAATGGAGTTCTAGCTGTACTTTCAGCTGAAAAGTACAATTTGCCAACAAGTGTTTACCCTTAAGTGAATTATGAGGGGACGAAATTACCTTTAAAACTGTATAAAAGCAACTCCATCCCAAACTTATGTTTCCTTTTTTTGGATTGAGATAGTAAGGGTTATAACTTCTGTCCGTTATTTACTTCAGTCTTTGGCTCCCCTTATCCATGTAACACCAGCCCTAGAATTGTGGCAATAGGGGATCACAAGAACAAAAAGGCAAAGACAGCTATTTTATCTTCAGAGATTTTAGCCTTTCCTGCATCACACAAAAAAATCCTTTTTCCTGGGATTTTCAAACAGGGCCTTGGGTCAAATTATTCATCATGAAAAGGTATATTCACTTTAGCTGAAACCAGGATATGCTACAGCCAGTAAAGATGTTATACTCTAATTTTTGCGACCTTATTTCCCAGAATCCTATAAATCTCAGAGTCAAAAGTTATTTTGTGGTAATTTAACATATTAACTGTGTTGGCTAGAAGGTGTACTTCTGCTTGTGTTAACATTTTGCTTATAAACTTATTACAGATAGTATTACATGCATACATTGTTTTTTCTCTTTTTTTTGTAACTGAACATATACATCTTTTCAGGACAGTTTTGTGGTACAATTGCAAGCAAGAAAAAGAAAAAGATGATGTACCTCACAACAAAAAATGCAGGTACTGATTTGCTGGTCATTTAAAAACTTAACGTGCTGCTTTACACAACTGTTCATCATATATACCTTCTCTTAGAATGCATATAAACCATGACATTGAACTTTCCTTATTTGTTCCCTTTTGCTCTGCTAAATATATCATTGAATGTTTTTTTATATCTCTTCAATATGTGAAGGGAGTGATAAGGAGATTAAGAGGCAGGGATGGATGATCCAATTCCCCCATTCATACATTTCAGGTGGATTGTGGAAAGCCACCGTGCTATTGTGTTCTGATGGCAGGGAGACTTGCGTGCTGTCAAAATACAATGATCAGTGCTGCCAGCTACAGCCGGTGGCACTGATCGTTCAGGGAGAAAACCGAATGGCTGGTTGTACACAAGTCAATTGTTACATTGACTTGCGTACATCCAGCCTGCCCATACATGGATCTAATTTTGGCCAGTCCCTGCCAAAATTCAATTAATGTACTGTATGTTCACACTAATGCTGAACATACTCTGAATTTTGCCCATTTTCTGCTGAATCAGTCAAATTTCTATCCATGGATGGCCTTGCCAGCACCGCATGACACGACACACTTCAGTTTGAAGGAGCCAGGCAGGAAATTATCTGACGATCAGTGAACACATTTATTCCGGTGCTGTCACTGTTTAGGTATTCTGACAGCTGCAGACTGTCACAATACAGTAGTCAGGCATGTGCCATCTTGGTACTCTTGGCAGCTTACAGTGCATGTTCAGGTGCCACTTGTGTCACCGCCATTTTCAACTGGAACACGCTGTAGTAGGACCCAATTAGCAGTTCCCTACCATATATCTCCCAGCTGGACAGCCTTTTACAGTATAAAGGAGCTTATGTTACTTGTCTACAGTCGGTTCTTTTTTACAGGACTACTTGTTGTTCCGAAACCCCAAAACTGCTACCGGAGGGTGTGCATGTCCAGTAGAGTGAGTACCGGACAATGGAGGAAAGCAACGACAGCTCCATATCCAACATATGGTCTCTTCCCACAGTCCCAGACATTGTTCTGTTTCCTACAAGGGATCGAGGAGTGGAGGATTCTCCTCTAATCTTGTATGAGCAAAGAGTCGTTTTCCACCCAGATGTCTTCCTTGAGAAGGGAAATTGCAACTTTTTAAAAAAATCTGCTTGAAATGCTAGCAGCCCCTCATTTTTCTTCTCAACCTTTTTTATTCCGTTTTTGGAATGGTTTGATGTGAAAGAAGACAATGTACAAAGTTGGGGATTCTTCGTCTGTGGAAAAAGATACAATTTCAGTGCTTATAGAAGAGGTGCGCAAATGTCTTAAGTTAGACTCCACTGTGCCTGTGGGCCCAAGAGAGACTAATATGTGTTCTGGGGAACAGAAAAAAACCTAGTTTTTCCTGTTCACCACACCTTAGTGAAGTATGTTTTGTGTTAGGATTGGAAACGCCCAGAAAAGATTTACATTCTTCCTAAGCACTTTAACCAACAACATCCCTTTGACAAGGAATTCTCCAAAATATGGGTTGTTCCCGAGGTTGAGCCAGGAATTTCTTGTCACAAGACCCTCACTGTTCCAGTTGAGGACTTGCTTATTTTTCGAGACCCAGTGAATAAGCACTGTAAGGCCCTGCTGTCAGGGATTTGTTTTCCTTATCTAGACAGATAGCCTAACTAATTGTGGTTGCTATGGTGGTATGTCTGGGATAGGCATCTAGCTAGAAATCCTAGTGGCATTTGGTAAAGCTGCTTTTTCCAGCATTTGCTTGCTTTTCATTTTGCCCGATGGAGCCAAAATGGGCTCTGTTTCATGATCCACGTATGTAAGGTGGATTCACCAGTTCATGCCTATTTTCTGAAGGGCAAAATGCTTCCCTTCTCAATTAAGGCTCATTCCTACTAGGTCTGTTGGCTTATCTTGGACGTTTCAACATCAGGCTTCTTTTGCACAGTTTTGCATTGCTGCTACCTGGTTTTCTGTGCACACTTTTGATTTGCCGAGATGTTCAGGCTGCTGCTGATTTTAGTTTCAGACACAGAGTTTTGCAGACCATTGCTTAACCACAGTTTAGCCTTGTTTAGACCTTTTGTTTCTTAAAGGCCTGTTTGAATTTTTCTTGCCCAAGTTTCACTCCCCTCATTACTGCTTTGGCACGTCCCATCTGTTAAGATTGACTGCCTCTGGTCTGTACTTCGCAACAAAGAAAATTGAATTTTTACATACCTGTAAAGTCATTTTATTGGCGTGCAATACTGTACATGACGTAGGACCTTCCCCTCTGTTTTTGATCACATGGTGGGGAGGGCTTATATGAAGGGGAGTTAAGTGGCTTTGCCGGTGTCTGATCACCTGAAGGTGCAGCATTTAACCCTTCTGTTTGAATTGATAGCCTGTGTCATGTACTGTACAGGTATGCAAAAAAAATCCACTTTTTCCATTTTAAACGGTGTTTATTTAATTCCCCATTTTTATATGTTAAGTTAATTTCTTCTGTCTCCACTATTCCAGAATTTGATCGTCATGAAATACAGATATACGAAGAAGTAGCCCGAATGCCTCCTTTTCAAAGAAAAACACTGGTTTTAATTGGAGCTCAAGGTGTGGGACGCAGAAGCTTGAAGAATAGACTGATTGTCATGAATCCTACCCAGTTTGGAACAACTGTTCCATGTAAGTTAAAGTACTATAACAAAGCAAATGAGTTGTCCATGTTCCAATGCAATGTTTTTTAATAACATTTTTTTGTCCCAAGAAGTTTAAATGTCCATTACCCAGACTATACCATTCTGCTGTTTGTTTGCCTTACCTTGTAATGATGGGTTCACTTGTTGTGGCTGCAGTTTGTAGAGTCATGGCTGATCATTCCCCTATGTCCATGTATTAATATACCCAGCTTGTTCCTAAGAACAGGCAGATTTCTTTTTCCTGGGTCATACAGTGTCCAGTGCATGCCTTGCCATTTCCTCTGTGTTGCTGCGCAAATGGAGTATTAATGTGATAAAATATTTTCCAACGATGTAAGCTCTGTTAATTCATCTGCTTCTTTGCTGCTATGTTAGATCTAATTATGGTTTAGCTATCGCCTGCACCAGTGCTAGATTGTGAGACTCGAGAATTGTGGGACATGTTTCTTCACATGAAATGTTAGTTCACAGACTACAGAAGTCACGCATTAAACGGTGCAGTGTTATGCGGCATCCCTTGTGTGTGAACACAAACAGAAATTTCTGACCAAGGAATGTGAATATTTACTCTACTGCAGGCTGTGCATATGGTGCCATAAATGATGGCATTGAACTACATGATAAGTGCACATCTTATGCAGGTGAAAAACACAAGGTACAAGTAGGGAGATTTATAATGGCCTTAAGCTCATTCAATAAATAATTCTGAAGATCACTGTGTGCATTCAAAGAAGCAAAGATGGTTCAAAATTAAAGGACTTCAGTCATGACACAATGTTCTTGAACAGGTAATAATTAAACACGTGACATTAAATAAATGACATTGGCGGTCCTCTGTAATATATTTAAATTGAGTGGCTTTTCACATCAAAAATAAAGTTTTCCATATGTTGTGCAGTAGTACTTCAAGTACTGCTTATGCTACTGTGAAGTTCAAATTCAGTCTGGTTGATGACCAGATTGTTCTTGGAAGGGATCTAGACTGGTTAGTCTGACAAGATTTTATTGGTGCTGAATTCATTTAAACCTGAGTTTGTAGGAAAGTCACCTTTTAAATTCAAAATAAAGGTAAATAGACCATATTAGTGATAGGGCCTCTACATAAACATGGTCTGCACAATATATGTGAAATTTCTTTTACAAATTGGCTCCTAAATAATTTATCTTGATCATACAATGCAGGACACCTGCCTCCCCTATAGCTCTACCCCACTCGATGAGTTCTCAGTTGCTAGTGTCCCAATGTGATGGACCTCTTTCCCTTATCCCACTCTTTAATCAACTCTTCACTGCTTTTTAATACCACAATAAAAGCAGTGCATCTGGATAGGTGTAACCTCTGTAAAACCTTGGAAGCCATACCTGGACCCCAAGCCGTAGGGACAACCTATGATGTTTCTTTGAACACTGAATCTTTCATGTACGCTCACCTTGGCACTTTATGCAATGCATGTAGTCAGCTACAGGGTGCTGTACTGGTTCAGGACCATAGTCCAGCCCTATGAAACCCAGACCCATTTATTACTATAATATTTTTTATAAAAGGTGAACTTGGCCTTTAAACATCTCACTGTGCCAATTGAAGATATTCCTTCTAAATATTCTGCAGATAAGATGTCTGATCGCTCAATCACTCTTAGTGATTTGTAAAGCTTTTTTCTTATGAAAGCAACAAACGTGTCATACTTACCTGCTCTGTGCAATGGTTTTGCCCAGGGAAGCTCCGATCCTCTTTTTCTCAGGTCATCCGCAGTTACTCCTGGCAATAGAGCCTTGGCTTTCCTGTACACCGCTGAATCTAGATCGGGCTCAGATATGTTTTGGCGGGGCTGTATGCAGAAGATTTTTTCTACTTCAGTACGGTACAGTACGGTAACAAAAAAAAAAAAAAAACCCCTACTGCCTTTTGCAGCAACTTTACAGGCTCTCTTTATACTTGCAGGCCTTGCTGTATAGCCAGCTGTCACTGTGATACCTATCTGTCAAACTGCAACTAATTGGGCAATGGCAGTGAACAACCAACATGGTCTTGTGTACCAGGACCATGCCTTAATTGAGCAATTACAGCTCTGCTCATTTGAATGGATGCTCTAATACAGGTAATGAAACAAAGTTCCAGAATGGCCCTAATCTCCATTCACATGAGCAGAATCTTGTGGCGCATAGCCTGCCTGTAAAAGACAACTCACATATGTGCCCTTTGAAGGAGGACGTCTTTCTTGTGGGACACTCAATGGGTTCAATAAAGATGTCACAGGAGGAAAACGTTCTGCTCTCCCACAACCCCCCACCCCCCCCCCCCCCCAAAAAAAATACCTTTAAATTCCTAAATTTTGCATGGTATCCAGAAGGTCAGTTAATACCTCTCTGAGACCAGGTGAATACCTGGCATCTGTAGACATCCACAATACCTATCTACATATTTCTCTTTATACAACTCATCATGCGATTTTTTCCATGGAAGACAATCATTTCCATTGTTTTTTCGTCTCTACCTTTTGGCCTATCCTTTGTTCCCATAGTATTAACAAATCTCTTTTTGCCCTGCTGAGAACTCAGGGCATCCAGGTGTGAAAGACCTTCTGAAGAACTGCCCTTCCTTCCACTTGTCTACAAATGTCCACTGGACCAAATATGCTCTCCACCCTTCTCTTCACCTGAAATACTTAGGTCTAGTTCTAGACACATACCAGGCAAAGGTTATCTCTCCAGAGAAGAAAGTACTCCATCTGAACAGATGCTTGGGAATTGGAGGGTAAAGAGACATCCCGCAATGAAATGCTACATAAGTTCTAGGCTTTGTGATAGCCTTCTTCGAGGCTGTATCATTCTGTCTTAATTGCTCACGCAGAAACTGCTGGGCAGTAACTTTCCTGATCCAATAATTTACTTCCCTGCACAAACTGACACAAGAAAGCACTGTTTTGAGTTATTCAAGGGTCTTAGGTTACAGGGAGTGCATAGGTGGGAGAATACAAGGTCAAGGGTGTTGTTGTTAGCGGGTGGTGGTTTGTGTCCATTGTGTTAGGTTAAAAGAGGAGGTTAGGTTGAGTAGTGGCTGAGGTGTCAACATTAACTGGGATGTTAAAGTCACCCAGGATGATGGCAGGCACCTCAGAGGAGAGAAAGTAAGGTTGCCATGCAGAGAAGTCATCAAGAAAGCATGAAACTGGGTTGGGAAGGTAGATGACTTCAATCCTTAAACAGGAAAAAAAAGACAAATACAGTGCACTTCAAAAGAGCAGAGGGACAGAGAAGGTGGTGTTGGAAGAACCTGGAAAGTTCTTTGTGGGGAAAAAAGAAGTCCACTCTGCCCCCTTTTCATCCACTGGGTCTGGGTGAGCGAGTCCAGAGGAGGCCACCATGGTAGAATGCAGTTGAGGAGACAGTCGGATTTCTGGAGCCAGGTTTCGGTAATGGCAAGTAGGTTGAGGAAGTGGGAGAAGAAGAGGTAATTGACAGTGGAAAGTTTGTTCGAGACTGAGCGGGGCCCAGAAGGGCACATAAGAGGGTGGGGCCGGTGCGTGTAAGCAGGGTAATTGAGGTAAGAGAGTGAGGGTTGTGGCTGGTGCCAGGGAAGGGAGACTGCTGATTCTGTGGGTGGGAGTTTGATGGTGAAGGGCCACGGTTTGCGGCGATATCTCCGGAAGTTAGAAGTAGTAGTAGGAGCATGAGGGAGGTGAGGTGGGAGCGGAATTTATATGAGGGCAAATGCTACAGTGATTTTGGAGCGGTGACATTATGTAGGCTAAGAGAGAGCAGGAGATAAGTGCAATGATAGAGAGGGCAGAAGTGAGGGTGATATGTACAGGTTGTGGGGTGGGGAGGAGGGGTAAAGAAGAGAGAGTTTGAGGAGAGAGGGCATTATAGCAAAAAAGAAAGTTGGTAACAGCATGTTGGAGAGTGAGGAGAAATAAAAAGGAAGGCTGAGAGAAAGAGCTAGGATAGGAAAGAGCACTTGCAGACTACTTGGACTGGAGCACTAATGTTTGTACTTGCCTTAGTTAAGGTGCCTTAGTAAACCCAGTCTGAGAAATGCCATGGAATCATGCACTTAGGAAGTGGATTCAAAGAGGTTGCATCACATCAGCAGCTCTGAGATGCAGCAGATTATGAAAAACAAAAGGGATGGGGAAACAATCAAAATAATAATAAATATTTCTGATACACCAGACTTTAGCAAACTAAATGCGATTAGGATAGGGTTTACATCTACTTAACGTAATTTGTTTGTAGTAGATAAGGAAAAGAGGGTTCTAAACAGGGAAAAGTTTCTGAAATGGCTAAAAAACATTTATGAGCTTCCTACTGCACAGGAGTTTGACAGCAAAATAATATGAAGTACACAAAATTGAACGGTGCATTTCTGGTTATGGATTTGTTGCCAACAATTGTCAGCTGCTTGTCGACATATATTTTTTTTTTTAGTAACCTAAGCACAGGTTATCTTTTCTTTATTTTAGTAAAATAATATGGTTCTTTGAGATTGTTTGGAGAATGGTCTAATGTGGGATATTTTGAGTTATTGGATAAAAGATCATACTGCTTATTCACAAATTGCACAAACAAAAACAAAATTGTGCACCTTCTATTTATACCACGGCATTGAAAATGAACATTACTCTGTAACAGTGTATAAATGAACCAATAGGCACACTCTAGGGCAGTCTTTCTTAGCCTGTTTTTCCCTAGAGAAATGCTTGAAATAATTTTCAGGTTTTGCCCCTGCTAATCCCCTGCTAATCCAATTGCATCGATGGCAAGTGGCAAGAATGCCCCTCTTACAGTCTGGGTGTCATGCAGCTGGCTTTGTCAAGTGTTGTTGACCCTGGAACAATGTACGCACCATCAAATGGGAGGTCAGACAGCCACAGCTCAGGGGAGCGTTTAAAATATTCCCACAGAAACCCTCCGAATTCCACAGAAGCCTATTTGAGAATGGCTGCTCTAAGTCTATTTGTTTGTGAGAAACTGGTTATGAAAGCCATTTTTTTATGCCACTTGTCTTAACGTACTAAACAAATCAATCTTGTGGTCTGGCTAATTTTGTCAAACTCAGGATTCAAAAAACAACTGTGTTTAGTGTAAAATTATATCTGTGAACAGCAGCACTTTAAATTGCCTAATACCAAAAAAACTTAATTTGAACAGAAGTTTTAAGTCTGTGAATAAACATTGATTAAAAATTTTTGACCAAGTCCTTCAGCCAACTTGTGCATAGAAAGAAATATTATCCTCATGCTCTCCCACATGAGTTCCACCACCACTGTTAAACACTGCCTTTTACCGCTAATTCAGACCTCCAAATTAAAGATGGGTCTTTAATCCACATCAGAAGGTTACTGCACCAGCCATTGATTAGGTAGCTGAGATTTTCAGGGTACATAAGCGGAACTCTCGTTTAGTCATCTTCTCGCCTTACATCATAACAAAGATCCGGCAAAGAAAGCACAAACCCCATAGCATAATACTGCTGAGTTTATTGAAATAAAGACTAAAAGGCTACTCACAAACAAATTGTGTAAAATTGCATTGCACAGAACGTCATTGCCACTGGTCCGGGTGGCATGACGATGTCAGCACAGGCTCCGCCCTGACCAGCGGCAGCTGCATTCTTGTACCTACCTATAATTTAGAGGTCTAAATTAGCGGTAAGAGGCAGAGTTTAACAGTGGTGGTGGAACTCACATGGAAGAGCACAGGAATATTATTGATTCCTATGCACAATTTGGTTGAAGGAATTGGTCATGGATTTTTAATCTCTGTTTATAAATTCGTTTAATTACCAACTTTTAACATAGGTGCAATTTAATTTTTTTTTCTTTGTATTGCTATAAACAGACAGCGCAACAAATAAGTGGTATATATTTTTTCTGTCCAACTGTAGCTGTTGTATCTGCCATGTTCCGGAGGGTGAAATGCGCTGCTAATGACTGTGGAAATGCTTGTGGTGATCTAAACCGTAATGTGACAGTGCTGACCCATTAAATAATTTAATGAAGTTCCTGACTCTTTCCCAATACACAGGAACATTTTAACATGCCGCCTGTTTGTAATTGTTTACATGGCAATATTTGTGTTTGCTTTTTATTGAAAATACAACAGTGGAATAGTTAGACTTGTGACAACAAATCAGATTACAGACTTTTCTGAAAGGTACATCAAAAAAGGTAAGCAAATTTATATCTGCTTGCTGATAGAACAACATAGTCAACATCCTCAATTTACTTTTTCTCAGGTTTTATGAAATAAACTCTGAAATTTCAACATTTTGTTGTTAGAAGACTAGATACTTGAGATTGATATTGATTCTTATCGCTTTTAATTTACTTAATCTGGGTGGCAAAGACAGTGCCAGTATTTAGAACATAGTGGTTGAATCTCTTTGCTTATTTTTAACTTAATTTTGGCTTTTGGAGTATCTGACAGGCACATGTTCTAAACCGCTATTTCTTTCTAAATTTTGTGTAGTCACTTCACGCAAGCCAAGAGAAGATGAGAAAGATGGGCATGCATACAGATTTGTCTGCAGATTGGAAATGGAAGCAGATATAAAATCTGGAAGGTACTTGGAACACGGCGAGTATGAAGGCAATCTCTACGGCACAAAAATAGATTCAATTCATGAAGTAGTTTTGGCTGGCCGAACGTGTATATTGGATGTTAATCCACAGGTAATTTTATTTTCTAGATTTTTTTTTTTTTTTTTTTTTTTAAATGTGGATCATATACTAGTGTTTTTATACATTTTTTGCTGTTCCAGAACATATTAGGTTTGCCAAATCATCCCATTAATTACTAACAATATACAGTAATTTATCCTAGGTTGTGTAGCTAATTAGTTGATGATTTAGTCTAATTAAATGCAGAAACTGTTAAACTTGGATATGCCAGAAACTAATATTGCTTTCCAGTCAAAACTTGGCTTGGGAAGTGTGGGCAAGTCTCTTCATCTGACACACCTATCATAAGGGGCAAAAAAGCCTTGTACAGGTTCCAACCCTTTCCCATTTTCTTTTTTGCAAATAACCTAGCAAGATCCCCTTAAATAGTAGTGAAGGTTTGGGGAGATCAAGGGTCAGTAATAAGTAAGCCAGGGCTCAGAGGTCAGTAATAAGCAACATTCAGTTCTGGGGTCATTAATATGTAACAAAGATTTTTCAGGTCAGTATTAAGCAGAGTGCGGTGGTCATTAGTATGTAATGCAGAGTTAAGGGGTCAGTATTAACGCAGAGTGCAGGGGTCTGCCGTAAGTAACGGGAGTAACACTGTATGGATGGAAAAGCCTTCCAGCCTCACAGCCCTCAACATACAGCAGAGACGTGTGAGCCGAGCCCCCTATTTAGGAAGGGGGAGAGCCACTGTAGATGGAGTGCAGCTGTGGGAACATGTTGGCTAGAACATTCTCTTTTAATAGCTCAGGCAGCTGAAGTGGATGAAATCTGTTTGCCTTAAAACAACCACACATGACGGAAGGATGCTTAGTTGCTAGAAGAGCCAAGACTGAGTGGAGATTTGACTGCAAAGCTTGGTGACTGTGCACTGCAGTAAGTAGAAGAGGTGGTGCCCGGCTCTTGTAACAGCAGCCCTGGCTTGTCAGCTGGAGGGGAGGCAGAGTCCCAAAAATGCTGTGACTGGCTCCTTTATAGTCGTTTGTGCCACAACAGGAGCTCCAAACATTAAAGATATATCAAAGCTGACGATAGATGCTTTAGTTTTTTTTTTGTTTTTTTTTTTTCGTTTAACAATTGCTGACTAGATTCCTCCACACATTTGAGGTAGGAAGGGGGAATCGCTCCAACTGAGCTATTGTATGCTGAAAACGGGGAGACTTCCCTGACCGCAAAATACATGGTTAGCGCTGCCAGCTGAAGCTAGCTATATATAGTCTGCAGCATTGATTGAGCGCATTTATCGAACAGGTTGGTTATACAGAATTCAATTGGTAGATCGACTTCTGTACAACCAGCTTGCCTGTACATGGACAGAAATTTTGCCAGTCCCTGCTGAACCAGCCAAATTTTTGTTCCATGTATGGCCAGCTTTAGATTAAAATTTTCTGAACTGCTAACACAGTTCTCATTTAAAGGGATACGTTGACAGGTCAAGATTAGATGTAGTTCTTATTCAGTACGTTTTTTGTGTTTCAGTTATGTAATTCCTTAGAGACTTTGCATTTTGGAGTATGATGAATAGTTTCTTTTTTTAGAAAAGCGGTGTACAGTCCTCCTATTTTCTGCAAACATTACAGATGCCCGCCAACTGAAACTTTCCACTTGTGCCAAATTACTCATTTTCTTCAGAAAATAAATGCCTGCATGGTCCCTAGAAACGCGGAGGAATCTCGGTTATATGTTCTGTTTTACTAGTCAATGTAACAAGCCTTCCTACCAAACAGCATGGGAATCAGACCTGGGTGAGACTGTAGAATAGGAAGTGTCAGCAACCATGGTCCTCAGGAGAATACTCAATACCTCCTTGGTGGGAGCGAACTATAAGGTGTTGTCTCGATGGTACCTTGTCCCGGCAAGGCTGTCAAAACTCTATCCTGGTACCTTGCACCTCTATTTTCGAGGTTGTGAGCAAGAGGGGAATATATATCATGTCTGGTGGTCCTTTCCGGAGGTCCAATGTTTCTGGATTAGAATATTCACTCAGCTGTTTGGTGATGGGAAGGAATATACCCAAAAAACAAAAACCGCATTGTTCACTGAATTTAAGATAAGATACCCAGAAATCTCCAAACCCTCATATTCTTTATTTTCCTAGCAGCTAAAATAACTATCACCGTGGTTAACATTACAGTGATTAAACACAAGTTATCCTGGATTATGATTAATGAAAAAATTGACAAGTATTAAAGACAAACAAGTTAGGTTTTAAAAAGTGTAGAATCCCTGGATTAAGTATTTTCAAGCTCCCCTAGTCATCGGGACGCCCTAGGGTTCGGGTGCCTGGACCAAGGGGACCAGTTTCTGCCTCTTTCTCTCTTCCTTTCCTTTTCCTTTCCTTTTCCTTTCCTTTTCCTTTCCTTTTCCCTTTTCCTTTCCTTTTCCTTTCCTTTTCCTTTCCTTTTCCTTTTTCCTTTTTTCCTTTTCCTTTTTCCTTTTCCTTTTTCCTTTTCTTTTCCTTTTTTTTCCTTTCCTTTCCTTTCCTTTTCCTTTCCTTTCCTTTCCTTTCCTTTCCTTTTCCTTTTCCTTTCCTTTTTCCCTTTCCTTTTCTTTCCTCTTAAATTCTTTACAATTTGATGTTTATATATTGATGCCAAGGAGGTGACCAAAGAGCCTCTCCCAATTTGATACATGATGGGATGAAAGCCTTCATGCCTTGAGGTACTGGGAACATTGCCTGTTATTGCACCCACACCTCTCAAAAGAACCATTTGATTTGAAGCTTATTATAATTTTCTTTCACAGTTACGATTTTACTTTGCCTGCTGTAATGGGGTCACTATAACTATTGAGCTTTACATCCTTTGTAAACTGTTTTATTTGGTTGGACCAGCCTGCTTGCACTAGTGCCTTTTGTTAGTATGTACCTTGTCTAAGATAAGCAGACCCCTGATTGCATCTGCGGGCGCATTCCTTGTTTTCATTACGTTTTCATTACTGAACTTACTACAAAAAAAAATGTTTCTGAATGCATTTTTTTGGAAAAGAAAAGTGGCATAAAACTTCGGTACACATTAGGCCGCTTTCACACCGGTGGACCGAATTTTTCCGCCTGTCAGGTTTATAGGTGGACCCGATCGGACCCTCCATTATCTTCTATGGAGCACGGAAGGTAAATGGACTTGTGTCCATTTACACCTGCCTACATTCGATCTGATCAGTTAAAAAAACAGGCGAATGGTAATCTGTTCCCCATCCATCTAGCACATCAGGTGGCAGTCAGATGTAAACGGACAGGCGGTCTGTTTACATCCAACCACTCATAGAGGACAGCGGGCTGTGTCTGTTTCCGCTCTGCATAAGCGGAGCAGACACAGACCACCCATCTGCTTGCTCAACAGTGATCAGTGGACAGATTCCTTGCTGAGCAAGCAGACTCCGCCCTGTGTTAGGGGCTCATACTGTAATGCATCTTAGCCATTCTTAGCAAGACTCTGAAAAGTCAGTTACTGCAGTGTGAAATCCGAGTTTCCTGTATCTTTGTGTTTGTCACATTTCTAACAAAGAAATATTTAACATGCACCAGCGTGCCTTTGTCCTTTTAAGTTGTAAATGCTGAAGAAAACAAGATTGCGAGAGCGCAGGATTATTAAAATGTATAATACATTTATTAAAAACATCCAAGCTTACATATGAAAAATGGTTTTCCAGCTTGAGTGCAGAGGTGGAGGATGTATGGATTTGGCTGGGTGGCAAGCTGATGAGGCCTCTAACACAGGAGTCGCAGCCAGTTTTTAATGTGTTCTACATTTTAATAATGTTAATATGTTTTTCACATATGCTGCTATGGATCATTCCCTGGTCTGTGTGTCCATGAGCTTTGCATTCTGTCCATCTTTTCTTAGTACCTGAAGCCATCTAGCCAGCCCATGAACACATGCACCATTTCAGCAGACTCTTGAAATCTGCCGTAAAGACTCCAGTATCGTGAGCATTAGGACCTTAGGCTATGGCACTGCAGACTGCTGCCTTTTAGTTGCTATTTAATTGCCTCTATTTGTGGACTTTATTGAACACTGACTGAGAGTGCTGGGAATTGTTGTTCTAAATCAGTGGTCTCAAAACTGTGGACCGGAGGCCAGATGTGGCCCTTTGCTTGCCTTTATCTGGCCCTTGCAGTACTATTGCTCCTACTGACACCAAGAATGGGGGCATAATTCTTGCCACTGACACCAACAATGAAGCACTATTCCTCCCACTGACACCAATGATAGGACACGATTCCTCCCATTGACACAACCAACAGAAGCATAATTCCTTCTACTGACGCCAAAAATGGGGCACTATTCCTCTTACTGACACCAGTGATGGGGCACTATTCCTCCCACTGATGTGGCATTGTTTTACTCCCTCTGACACTAGAACGTTTTCTACTCCTGCTGGCCGCAGTCCAGCCCCCCTAAAATCTGAAGGACAGTAAACTGGCCCCTTATTTAGAATGTTTGAAGACTCCTGTTCTAAATTGTAAATGCAGCTGGTGAATAAAGCACCTGAGTGGATGTGCTAAAGTTGAAGTACAGGCCAATCTGGATCAGTTGTTTTTCTTTATAGAATGCAGACTGAATTGAAGAGAAACTACTGTGTTCTCGCTAAAAAGCACAACACTGATGAATCAAAGAATATAACATAATAGAAATTTTACGATATTTCTTTATTGTGGGAGAATTTTTGTCAGGGCCTGACCCTGCAAGAATTGTGTCTGTACCCATTCCTCTTTTTCATCATTACATAAAACAGAATAGGAGAAGATTGTTTATCTGTATGCTGGCCAAACAAGACCATTAAATCTAGCTTTTGATTACTAAAACTATTTAACAGATCAAGGCGACCAGTAGACAGTGTTTGATATCACTAGAAAATTGATGTATGCCAGCATTAACTTCTACTGCTCTTTTGTCTAACTATTCTGAAGATATTTTAAGCAAAATCATTTAAATAAAATATTTTTTTTTCAGGCATTAAAAGTATTGCGGACTTCTGAGTTCATGCCATATGTAGTGTTTATTGCTGCTCCAGAGTTAGACACATTGCGTGCCATGCACAAAGCCGTGGTGGATGCTGGAATCACGACAAAGCTTCTCACTGTAAGTCGTTGCTCTTTTAATTATTGGCCTGCTGATTATATACATGCTCTGGTAACCTCAACAGCAGATCACTGATTGCCCTTTGTTTCAGCCTCATTACAAAGCAGTACCAGGTCTATGGCAGATGCAACAAGGGATTTATGTATTTTATGTATGAATCAAGTAATTTGAGTTTATGTTTAGTTGCCAAGCCTGATAGACTCCAGCTTGCTTCACAGGGGTTAAACTGAAAAATATTTAATGCCTGCCAAAAATGTTTTGAAGACTGATCATCAGATTATATTGAGTTCATTCCACATTTGCTTTTACCCAATTAAATTGCACATGTATAATAGGGAGTGCCTGAGCCAAACTAATCCAAACTAGAGAGCCCTAATACCGTTACTGCTGATTTTGGCAGTGATAAACACGGTGACAAGATATCCGGCTCATTTCCTAGCTCTCTCCTTTTGTGTCCTTTGACAAAAATTAGGTGAGTGCTGTGAGCAATTTATTTGTATTAAACCATGATTTAGGGTCTTAATGCAATTAGTCTGACAATGTGACATTGCAGTCTTTTGTGCATTGTGTCCAGTATTGTCCCCACATAACCTCAGCACGAAAAAAGATTTGTAGGAATTTTTTTTTCCTGTTGGGTTTTGTGGAAATAGCACTTTTTCATTTTCTGGAAAAGAGAACGTGAATACTCCTTTTATAAAATACAAAGTAATGAAAACCTTTTTTTTTTTTTTTTTTTTTTTTTTGTGCTGGCTTTTGTTAGTTTATTACAGGTACTTGTATAGCGTTGTCAATTTACGCAGCGCTTTACATTTACATCAGTCCCTAACCCTCAAGGGGCATACAATCTGAGGTCCCTAACTTTTATTAATTCATACACATACTAGGATCCAATTAACCTACCAGCATGTCTTTGGCATGTGGGAGGTAACCGGAGTACCTGGAAGAACACACGCAGGCACAGGGAGAACATGCAAACTCCAGGCAGTTGGTGTCGTGGTTGGTATTCGAACCAATGACCCTAGTAGTGCCAGGCAGATGTGCTAACCATTTAGCCACTGTGCTGCCCATATCACACCCTGTCATGTTTTTGTATTTATTTTTACTGATGGCAAAATTTTGACAATTCTATATTTGCGCATTGCAGACATGAAAATGAGCACTCCCTTCTTGTGTTAAAGTAATGACTAAACAAAAAAAACAAAAATGCAATATATTGTAGCTTGCCAGTCTTCAGTTGTGGTGGCTGCATTAGTTTTTTTCAGGCTCAGAATTATTTTTTTTCTTTTTAGCATGCACAGAAAAAAACTCTAGAGATCTTTGCACAATACACGTGTGTATTGGTGTCCATCCCCTGTAGGCCACTGTTCAAAATTATCTAACCATTGTCTCTGTCCCCTTGACAGCCTTAAGGAGCCTTTGATTTTACTATAAATGTGATGAAAAAATTCTCTAGCCAATATTTAGAAGAGGGTCAAGTTCACAAAATTGCCTACTAATATCAGAATTTTAATAGCAGAAAACTGCAGATCTCATTGTCTAGGAACATTTGATTTTTTTTTATAGGAAAAGGTTTCCTTTAAGGCCAAACTTGAGAGAAATACATAGCACAAAATTAAAGAGAATGCATCAAATCAGTATTTGTTACGTTCTTCAAGAGGATGCAAAAAATTACTTGATTTTAGCATATTTGACCAGCCGGATGCTTTTTTTTTTTATCACAGAGTATTGAAAAGCTCAAATCCAGCCTGTTGGATATAGATTATACAAGTTTAGTAGTATATTATATTATGTTGGTTTTTCTTATACATATTAAATTACAGTTTATGCATCTTGTCCCAGATAATTTGCTATAGCAAAAAGGAAAACTTTTAGATTTAGATGGGCCATCCCTGTTATAAATCTGAAGAGAAGGCTGTCCTTGGAAAGGAATGATGCTCTCTTTCATATATATGCTAAAGCAGTAATTTCATAGTAACTTATGGCTCAGACATACACATAGTACAGTCAGAACTAGCCATGATAAAGGAGGAGGATGACATCACAGAGGAACAGTTTGATAAAGCTAATTTGTCTTTCTAATGTGACTGTTTTTTATTAAAGTTTTGTTGGCCGTGAAAGATAAATGCTGAGAAGTAGGTTTTCATACCATTTGCAGCCCTAGACCTCTAGACAAGTGGTAGTGCCTGGGTTTGAATGGAGCATATTTGGAGAATACTATTACTTAATCCAAGTTTTGGTCTTCTTTCCGTCAGTGAAAGAGTTTTTTAATTTGAATATGGGGATTTTTTTACTAAGGGTGTATTTACCTAGGTGTTTTAATGGATGGTGTTTTCTGGTATGTGGAAAACCTGGTCTGGTTTTATGGTTCATGTGCCCTTGTGGTCAGTGGTGTAAACTGCTGCCAGGGCTAGCTAGAACCCTTAAACAGCCTTCACAGGACTTTCAGAGAGACATAAAATCTGGGGTGCTCAGCTGTGGGACTGTCGACTTTCAGAAAGTCATGTGTCTATCCACCTCCCACATCCTGCTATTGGTTCTTTTAACCCCTTGATGCCGACGGCACACAAATATGCATCCTCACGGAACTGGGCATTTTCCGTGGGGCTGCATATTTGCGTACCTGTCTTTGTGCTGGGAGCGTGCCGCTCGGCAAGACCGCGGTGTAACTGAGAGCCCCGGGTCCCGTTCTAACGATCGGGACCCGGGACTCCCGATTCCAGGTCATGTAATAGCCTCTGATTGGCTATCACAGTGATCAGTCACTGTGCAGCGCGGCCCCCTTGTTTTTTCTCTCTCCTCTATGAATGGAGAAGAGAGATACAGTGCATCTCTCTAACTCCGGGCATAGAGAGAAAAAAATGTTTGTTAGAAAAAAAAAAAAAAGATAAATATTAAAAAAATAAAGAAAAATACCTACATCAAGGTTTGATCTAGTTCAGTGCCAGGGTTAGTGTTTGGGTCAAGATCAGGGTCAAAGCTGAAGGTCAAAGGTCAGGATTTAAAAGAAAATTGTGTCAGTGTGTTTTAGGTAAAAAAAAAAAAAAAAAAAAGACAAAAACAAAATGCACACTATTGTTTCTGGGCTGTACTACGGGTACAAAGAACAAATAACATACACATATATGGTATCGCTGCGATCATCAAGAAGTGTAGAATTTATTTTAGGTTGTTCTTTGGTGATAGGTTATGGTCGTAACAAGAAACATACGGCTAAATAAAAAAAAAATTTTTTTTTTTAGGCCAGTTTTCCTTTGATAGTAAAAAAAATTTTGGAGCTATCCATTACCATTTACCACCAAATGAAAGCCCAGTTTGTCCTGAAAAAATCAAGGTATAATCCACCTGGATGTACAAAGTAGTTGTGATGATATGTACGGATTTACTATCACATGTCAACATTGCAGAATTGTGCTTAGGCATTTACATTTGTTTTACCCTTAGGCATGAAGGGGTTAAAGAGAAACTTTTTGTGGGAGAGACACAGATGCTGCTATTCTAGACTTCTGCAAATGTTAGTTTCCTGGCTGTCATACTTTGACTTTGTCACCAACCAAGAACAAGTATAGTGCCCGCAAGTTAAGAAGTCTTTGACTTTACTCTTATTTTCCTAATGTGCGTATTTATTTTGGTTGAGTGACCTGGCATAACAACCAGGCAAACTTGCAATTTTAGAAGGTTAGCAACATATACAGTGGATGTAAAAACTATACACACTCCTGTTAAAATGTCAGGTTTTTGTGATGTAATAAAATGAGACAAAGATAAATCATTTCAGAACTTTTTCCACCTTTTTAATGTGACCTACAGTATAAACTGTACAACTCAATTGAAAAAAAAAAATTGAAATCTTTTAGGGGGGGAAGTAAACATAAAAAAAACTAAAACAATGTGGTTGCATAAATGTTCACACCCTCTTATAACTGGAGATGTAGCTGTGTTCATAATTAAGCAAATCACATTCAAAATCATGTTAAATAGGAGTCAGTATACACCTGTCATCATTTAAAGTGCCTCTGATTAACCCTAAATAAAGTTCAGCTCTTCTAGTAGGTCTTTCCTGACACTGTCTTAGTCACTTCCTACAGCAAAAGCCATGGTCTGCAGAGAGCTTACAAAGCATCAGAGGGATCTCATTGTTAAAAGGTATCAGGAGAAGGGTACAAAAAAATTTCTAAGGCATTAGATGTACCATAGAACACTGTGAAGACAGTCATCATCAAGTGGAGAAAATATGGCGCAACAGTGACATTACCAAGAACTGGACTTCCCTCCAAATTCATGAAAAGAAAACTGGTCTGGGAGGCTGCCAAGAGGCCTACAGCAACATTAAAGGAGCTGAAGGAATATCTTGCAAGTGCTGGCTATGTGGTACATGTGACAACAATCTCCCGTATTCTTCATATGTCTGGGCTATGGGGTAGAGTGGCAAGATGGAAGCCTTTTCTTGCAAAGAAAAACATCCAAGCCTGACTAAATTTTGGGAAAATGTGTTATTGTCTGATGAAACCAAGGTTGAACGTTTTTGCCAAAATTCTAAAAGATATGTTTGGCGCAAAAACAACACTGCACATCGCCAAAAGAACAAGTGAAACAAAGTAAAAAAAATAAAAAATCACTCAAATATTCATGCTCCACACTGTAACACAGTGTCTGTCACTTGATGAAGTGCAGCCCTCTAAAGATCGGGGAATCTGAGCACTGTCAAGAGAAACCACAATAAGACACTCTCACTTTTTGTGCATTCCCGTGATGAAATTTTTTTATTAAAAAATAAGGAACAAATGCATACTCACAAAAAGACCATAAAAACAGACTGAGCCAAATCGTTCAGTCTCAGACATGGGGGGACCTGTGAAAACAACTACCCTGTTGGAAATAGCTGACATGTTTCAGAAGGTTTACTCCCTTCCTCATAGCTAAGACAACCAAGAGGTGCCAATGCCCCATATATAGGGAAAAGACTAGGTGTAAAATGTTTACCATTCCCCCTTCGTATGGAG